GTATAGATAAAGACTAATACATTATGAGGCAATTAAAGTCAATCTTCATAATAATTGTCGCTCTTGTTTTGTTGCCTGTTACGTCGCACAACAAAACGGGAATCAACAACATTTCGTCCGTTTTTAGAGGGTTTGTCCATCATATGTCCAAGTCCTTCTTCGAGCGTATAGTTAGACTTAAATAGATTAGATAGTTTATTAAGCAAAGATAAATCGCAGCCAAAGGGCTCAATTGGGTTACAAAGTCATAAAACTAAAAATGACTATTTAAAAAATGTTCAACATACTGTTCATATCAGTATTGATATGAAAGCAATTCCATTTCGTTTATGAGACGGCACATGGCTAGGATTACGCGAACAACCAAGTCAACTCGTTTTTCGTATACTTTTTACCTCTGAACCATCTCAACCAGCGTTTTATTTACTTGACAGTATAGCTATCTGGATCATTTTGAAGCTTTGAACCAGGAAAATCGTCATTTTCTGTCAAAACTACTGCATTTTGGAATGAATTTAATGAGACGCGCGTAAAGTCCACAGTACATTTCTCTTGTATTGACCTCAACGTTTGGCCGAAAGCGAGCGGGGGGTCGAAATCTGTGACGTAATAGAGAGTTTTAGCATCACGTTGACGGCAAACGGCTAACGGCAGAGCTGAACCAATGACCTAAGAATTTCGTGCCTGACCTTGTGCTTTTGGTAGTCATTGGAAAGAGCAACTTTTCACGATTATGGCAAACTCAAAATATACCACTTTCGCGTTTAAACTGTAACGGAAAATCCCTAAAAAGAAGATCACGTGATCTTTTCTGTCGTTTGCCGTTTGCAGTGAACGTCATGCTTAAGCTCTCTGTCGACCAACGTGTATTTCTCAGCTCCTCGGCCATTCTATCCAAGCACGTACACACCATTTGGTACTTTATTTTGTTCCTTCAGGAATCCTTCCCTAGTTTCTTTGAGCGAGTCCAGCATCAAAAGCTGTTGTAATTTTTCTCTTCTGTTTTTCTCTTCTGCATATTTGTCATCGTTATTTGAGGGCGAAGGTATACGGAGCTCCAAATCCGATAGGAAATCGTCAATATCGAAGTTCCGGCAAAGTAATGCCATTAAACGTATTTTGAACTATAAACAAATCGTCGTCACTGTTCGACATCGTTTCCAGAATGACTGTTAAAAATATTTCATAACAATATTCAAATTTCGATTGCTCGCTTTCGCATGARCAGGTTTTCTTAAAGGAAACTAATTTCAGCAGGCCATGAAAAAGTCTCAAGAGGAGAGGATTCTATTGTTATTGAACACCAACTAAGAAAACATTCATTTAGTTTATTAGATTCAGTTTTTGCGATAATAATATACATG